GCGGCTCAGCTCGACTTGAAGCAAACAGCTCAGATTTTCTCGCCCGACTCAGTCAGATGGACTCGGAGTATCCGGGTCGGCACACAGTCTTCTCGACACCGAGAGGGAGCCGTGACGGATGACTTGACCGGAATGGTAAATAGTATTCGTTCGGGCCGTATTCAAAGGGTGAATTCAAACTTCACTCAGCATAACACGCTGACGTTCTACTTCACCGAGCCATGTCGAGAACCCTGAGGTGTGAGTAGTGAACGTAGGTCCCAATGGCCGCTAATCGAGAAGGGGAGCCATGTCTAGATGTCTTCGTAATGTACTTAGATGTTGTATACCGATATTTTCCTCGGCCGCTCTAGGGATGAGGAACCTTTGGAGGCGGGTCCTGCAATCCCGGTCGAACGGCGGAAAGACCGATCATCCGAGCATTCCTTCGACTGATCTCGGCCGCCTGTCGATGTCGAAGCTCAGGAGCGGGGTTTCGTTTCAGAATGGTTTTCCGGAACTTTCAATCACTGTGCTCACGGGGGTTTGTCGACGGTCGATCAATGCTTCGCGACAAGGCGAATGGATGCGGCTAGCGAATCTCCCGCGGACTGTGCCGACGCAGGAAATATAAAAGTTATCAATGAAGGACCTGACACAGAAATTCGGACGGGGAAGATCAGATCCCCCCCCAGAGGATGTCGTCAGAGAGATCATCGCTGAGGATTCCGGCAGAAAAAGCGGGATGGTGTCAAAATAAAAAAAAACCAAGTCACGACTGCTGGTAGGATCTGGATTTGGGACGAAATTCTCCCTTCTCGTCCACTGACCTTCCGCCTCGGAAAGTTGATTCGATTTTCCGGACAGTTGAAGGCGTTCAAAAGAGAGTAAAACGTAAAAAAATCTACGACATTCTGCTACATTGGCAATCAGGGACAGTTTGCGCTCAGAAAACTATCCAGAATACCTGCTTAAAAAAATATATCTCTCAGGACCACGCATAATTCTCGCACTTCTACCCGGTCAACTGAAAGTGAAACAAAAACTAGTCCTTGCACTTAGGCAGTCCACTGCGATTCGGATTCAGGGTTGTCGCACCTCTCGGTCTGAGTCGCTCCGCTGAAAGGGCGCTCTGTACTTCGAGGAACTTTCAGCGGAAAGTGTCGTGAGGTCCACGCGGATTATCCTGAGACCGCGAGAAAGCCGCGGGCGTTCATTCATCCGGAGTTTTCTGCTCGCCATTATCCGTCTGGGGCGCATGTGAACCAAATCCGCAGATAGCGAAACCTCCCGGTCTGTCCTGTCTAGCGTACGCTCGGTCATTTGGTTCTCAGGGAATGATGGGAATTATGAAATCCTACAGTTATCTACCGGATGTGAACCAAGGTCGACCATAAGGTCAGCATTCGGTGAGTCCGGTGGAAGGCTTCAACCGTTGACAGTAACACTTGCTTCGATTTAACACCCGTTTTATCAGAAGACGTAAAACTCGATATCGCAAGGGAGCGAGCATTTCTGCTTTTCGTCAATGCCAGAGTTGCGACGGCCACTGGCATCCTGGCGACGGCTGGCTGGCTGTCGCCTGCGAATCGGAGCTATTTTTCGCGTGACCGCTAACATCACCAGCAGCGGCAAAGGTAACGTACGCAGAGTCTCTCACGCAGATCCGTATCGAACAATCACAGACACGCGGATAAGGAGGCACATAATTTGTACCTGGGAGCTGCTATAAAGCGACCGTCGAATGATTCCTACCCGGTCAATTGCCTGTCCGCGCAACGTTAACTGCAGAGCTTTCCTCGATCGGGGCACTCGACGGGTTGGAGGAGCGTGAGGATGCAAACGAGGAGAACCACATGGAGGGGGAATCCGGGGAGCTTTCCGTATCACCATCGATCTCTCGGATGAATTCATCGGTATCAAGGTCTCATGTTCTTCTGGGATTCTAAGAGGGCGTGGGGACGACCTCCTCCCCTTGCTCCTCCGCGTGAGCATCTGAATCCTTTTTGGGCGTGGAGTCTGAGACCATGTTCTCAGCGATCCATTCGAAGATGCACAGCGTTCACTATGGTCACCGCGAAGGAGGAGTTTACGGAAGACTTGTTGAGCCGTTCATTCGAGTGATGCACACGGGAGATCCTTGCTCGGAATAGCTTGCATCGTTCCAATGGAGCTCATGGATCGATGGAAATTACGGCGCGTATGCTACTGTCGAGATGGCCGATGAGTCCGTGCGGTCGGGAGAACCTCGATGAGTTTGCGCCAACACCTCGACGTGATTCCAAACTTCGGCCAGCGAGCTCGAGTCTCGATTCGACAGGCTTGCAGGAAGGCCGAGTTAGTGGTAAACTAGCGCCCGACCTTCGGAGCGATCTCCGGCTATATGATTCGTGGGAACGGTGAGATGATCGGAATGCTGGATCACAGAGCTCGGTGCCCTCAGATCACCTCGCTATTGAGATGAATGCATGCTTTGTTTCAGTAAATCGCGTGAAGCTGCCGCTCTGATCATGCCGATGATTCTAGGAGTGATGTCATGTGGTTTTTCAAATTCTTCGCTTACGAACTGCGTTGGATATATTAGCTACTCCTGTTCGAAGGCACGCGAGCCGTTGCGATTGCGTGGGTGACAGAGACAGCCAGACAACAAAGTTTCTAAAATTTCGTCATTGCGACTCATGGGATGAGAGTTCGAAAGAATACTCCGCCAGCCGATATCAAGGAAGCTACACTTCGGCGTCGAGCACGTGGAGTACCCAGAAGACGCGCTCCTGCCGCATATCAATTACGAGTGAGCGCATGTGGCTCATAGACAGCTCAATGAGCAAAGGCGCGTGTTTGAAGTCATCGTCAGAAAACCGCACCTGATAATTGCATTCGCGGTCGGTCCGAGGTTTTCACGAATAGCTTTGTTGCATAGCTGCATAAACAATGATGGGGTAACATCTTAAGAATTCAGACTTCATCTGTTGAGTGTTGTTCTCGCTCTCGACCTTCGAGCGACTCGGAAAACTCGAGTAGGAGACGTTTTTGATGCTCTCCGAAATATTCCTCAAAGCATGAATCTCTACTCCGGACCCGCCCTAGTTTATTGCGATCCATAATGAAACTTAGCTGGTGACGGCGTACCGACCGACGGAATTTCATGAAGAGGAAGGGTTGAAGTGATTCGATTCTGTCACATGAGCCGTTCTTGGAGCTTGATCCCTCTCGTTTGCTCGTCGGCACAGAATTCAGCATGTGCTTTGTTGCCTTTGAATCACGTGCCGGTGAGCTGTGCGGCTCCGACCGCGACAATATCGAGATCTAGCGATGCGATCGCGGCTCTCTCAATTAGAGAATACCCGCGAGTTCAAAGGGTAATCCCAGTCAAGATCGCGTGCACGGCGGGTTGAACCGGTCGTGACGGTGTCTGAATGGGAGGAAGTCGATGATCGAGGCGGGGCTTCAAACACGAGAGAAACCTGCCGGAAATCAGTTTATCGAGTTTATCAGAAATCTGAATGGCCGTGTCTCTGATTTTTCTCTCGATCGAATTGAAGTGCATCACATGACTGACGTTACGCCGCCACGTACGGCATGCCGCTCATTGCATTCCGGAGTGACGGAAACCACCACGTGGGAAATCTATGTCCGAGGAGCCGGAAGCGTTCCAAGGAAGGATTTTCCACTTCGAAATTCTACTCACGTACAATCGGTTTGCTTAGCGCCATGGGGAAGCTTCTCTGCTCCATGTTCCGGTGTCCGAAAACACCGGTATTAAGGAAAAGCACTCATCAGATTGCAATCGTGATGACCGCTATCGTGATCTTCTGAGCTAAACTGCAGAGGCTTGGCTAGAGAATGAAATGACCCCCTATGCTAAGAGAGACTCCAGGCTTTGCACTCCGGGCGCTGTTTCTCTTTCGGAGCGGACCGAGATCCCACGTTGCCCCTCCCCTAACCAGACAAACCGTCGATTTCGCTATCAATTGCGCTTTTTGCGATCGATCTGAATTGGGCTGTTCATGATTACGATCCCGAGTGCAAAGCTCCGCTGAACTTGACATCCGTCGCCGACCAATACAGATGTCAGAGTGTAAAAGCTGTTTTCGGAGTTCATCAGATACGCATCATCTGAGCTGCAGCGTCAATGCCTCTCTGGAAACCACCACAATGAGTCGACTCCGCCGATGTTTGTTGTCCGATTGTTCCGTAGAATGACTCTATTTGCGTCCAGCTCTCCATACACTATTCCAGATACGCTGAGACAGGGAGCGAATGGCGACGGCCGTCGAGCGCGTTTCCGATCGGAGACGAGGAGAGCCCGACGACGAACAAAGAGTTCGCGGCATTGCGCCGCTCTATCCACCTCCAACGTCCTCATGGCTTCCAAGGACATCGGAAATAGATCTTGAGGCTCCGACGGCGGCTTGTTTTCCGAACCGTTCGTCGCAGAGCTCGTAGGTTGACCTTAGAGGGTATCCATGGTCTCGTTCTCGGAAGGCAATTCTTTTTTCTGCTGACATGTTGCTCGGCGCCCACGCCGATCTCTATCAAGGCCAGAAGCGTTCCTCGATACCTAATGAAGGATTCAATTATTTTCTAAAAATCCAGTTCTCTCGACGAGCGGGGCGGATCCCGAATCGTCTGTTGAGATTCTCTCGGCACCTAATCGAGCAGCCGGATTGGTAATAGCTCGCAGGCGTAACCTCTAGCAGAAGAGGACAGAGGCGATCGACTGAGCAAGACTCTCGATGGCCCACTCTCTAGTCACGGACAGACAGCAGGGGGCGCGAAAACTTCTGTGCATCCCGTAGAAAAGAGCTGAACAAGCAGACAGCAATGCAGAGCACATGACCAGGCCATGCGGCGATCCCGGGGCATGAAGGCCTACAAAAAATGCACACTTTCGAATCGTCATGCAAGAGACTCTGCGTGACTTTCGCTGGAGGCGCCATCTGGCAGCCAGATTCCCTCTCTGACGAATCCTTTCCCGGTCGTGCCGTCTACATAGATCTCAGCGCGGGAAGCAGCAGCAATTCTAACTGATCGGCCTCAAAAGCAGCTAACAAAACTGTCAGTGCTGGTGTTGTGAATTGCAGCTGCTCAACTGACTCCGTCTGAGGTGTTACTTAGCAGTGGCCAAGTGCTGTGCGAAGGATACGGAGTTCGCTCCACGTGGGTATGTTGGCGAAATTCGCTTTGACGTTAACCTCGGAGGGACTGCGGAAATTCTACGTCGGTCGCTCTTGGCAGAACTTTGACAGTTGGTAGCGGAACAGATAAACGACTTGAGTTCATTCCCTCTTCCGAATTCACACAGAAAGTTCATGTGATCTGCGTAATCGCAGGCGCTTCCCGTGTTCTCTGAGTGAGTGAGTGACCGGCTGTCTGACTGGAATTCGCACAATAATCCGCCGTTATTCGGAGCGTCTCTCTTCTGTGCGAGACTAGAGTCTGGGATTCATGTATGGATGGATAAGTCTGCGGGAAAAAAACTCTGAAGAACGGTATGTGTCCTCATCTATCGCTAAGAGCGTATATCGTGCGGAGATGATCGATTGCACTACACTCCAGTCGAGAAGGTCGCCATTTTCTCGTAGAAAAAACGGGAGACGGAAAAATTTCCGGCTGTCAGAACATGATTTCCGGCGTGAACTCTGGAGCGGTTCACGCGCTCACGGCATTCTGTCCAAAACAAGAGAGGAATGTCTCTCGCGCGCGGAGCGAAAAGTTACGTTCTGCCATAAACAGCATTGGAGCCTTACATTTCTGGTTTCGGTATGGAACTAGAACTGTACACATGTGAGGCGGATGTGCGAGAAGGACGTCGGCCTGACGAAAGTCCCGGATTTGAGAGCAATAAGGGCTGCGCTGACTTCCACGGGAGGGTGAATTCACACATGAAGCTGAATTGCAGATGTTTTGGTTTACTTCCAAACGCCTTAAACACTCATCGTCTGTCTGAGTCTTGGTCACTTGCGCGCTCGGTCGGTCAGTTATTCAATACGACCGTCACTTGGACGCTCAGTCCTCAGACCGCCCTTCCGCCACTCGGTGTTTTGTTGACAGCTAGAACTGTCACCTTTTCTTCGACTTTCCCCCTTTTCTCACGAGTGTTGTCCCGTTCGTGGTCGCCTACGGTGTGAGGTAATCCTAACTCGTTGAAATCGTCGTAATCCTCAATCGTGAATGGTCCAACTTATGTTCACAATGAATTCTCGAAAAGCTTGCTCCGATGCTTTTTGTGACACCGAAGGTCGGTCGAAGAAAGGCTGAACACTCGATATCAGCACGAAAATCTGATGGCATTCTGTGGAGCTGGTTTTCTTGTATTCCCGTTTCTCCCTGTCGAGAAGAGTTGCGCTTCGATTTCTCGTTCCCACACGAAAGGGGACAAGTGCCCGTATTAACATTTCACTCGCTTCTGACAGCTGTCTCCTCGAACGATCCTATTAGAAACCCATCGATACGATCGATGGGTTTCTAATTCCCGATCGAACCGTGCGATGAGGTCGAATTGATCCCTTGGGTTCAGAATTACAATTATCTGGGAAACCCGCCGCTTCGAACGTCACTGATTTCGCATGTGCGCACTACGCGGAATTGATGTTGTCGAATCACCGTTCGAACTAGACGAGGATGAACTTGGAGGCGTGAACTTGGAGTAGATATATTGAATGGACCAATCGTAAATAGGAGACGCTACGTCACCGCAGAGTCAAGATCCTACCGTAGATTCCACAGACGTAGTAGGACTCCGATGTTGATCAACAAAGATCCGGCTCTCGAGGAATGTCTGTTTCCCGCTCCTGGAGTCCATGAGCCGTGACGGTAGCGGATCCGAGAACGTAAGAGATTATTTGACCGTCCCGCGTAGTCGCCTATCACAGCTCCAAGCGACGTATAGGCAGCATACAAGCGATCTCCCAAGTGAAACAGAATCATGACGTCTACAAAGCCGATCGCGCACTAGTTTCTTGAGAGGCGTCTCGATGCCGACCTCACGCTCGGATCTGGTCGTTGGTCACAAGTCGTGCGAGGACTTCTGCAAGAGTCCCCTCACTCAGAGCTGACAGCATTGACTTGGATGACCGTCTTCGTTTACGCTCTTTGAAGCATCATCTTGAGTCCTCGAGGAGCTACGGGAACGAATTAGGTCGAGCGATGGGAGCGGCTCGGTTCAGTCGCGAGCCTTTGCCCCTGGCTAGCTCCTATCCTTGGAATATATTCTTCCGGTTTCGAACCGATTCTCAGCACGAGGACGTCAGGCGCGTGCAAGCGAAGATTTACGTCTGCTGCAGGCAAACCGCCGAACTTCACGCAATGAATCTGCATGATCCACTAGAGGGACGTCGCTCCAATCACCAATCACGAAAGATATTGATGGCTTCCTACTGAGTCGATCGTTTTAGCCTGGTTGATTTGAGGTGGCCCGGTCTGTCTCTGCTCAAGCCTCTGTGTATGTCCGTTCGTGTCTATCCCCCTTCCATTGCAGGAGTGGGCGAGCCTTTGCCCTGGCTGAAGAGCTCGAAGGTTCTTGCCGTGAGATGAGGGCTTGCGATCGGAAGTCGATTGATCGAGGAATCGACGTTGCCTCCAGAGATTATACTACGGGGGCGTCTGCAGGTGGTCGGCCCCTTGATATTTCTAGAGATCAAGCAATTGATCACTTGCTCGTGAAGTCTCGGACCGAAACGAGAGACAATCAACTCCTTCCCCAGAGCTCGCGATGACCATTCTCGAAATGCGAGGCGTGCTCAAACACTCACCATCTACCGACTACGCAGCAGCCTCGCTCCTCCAGAGTTATATGATTGTTTGACAGCTAAAGCATGCAGAATTTTTTGTGTTTTCCACTTATTCATCGAAGGTTGAATTTTCTCTTGGCACTCCTCGCTTCAGAGTTTGGAGAGGAAGTGCAATGACTGTGGCCGCGCGGTTATTCCTCCTCTCATCCTAGAGGGTGGATGAAGAGGCGCTCATTGCGCTATTCTGATGAAAATTTCCGCTCGTGTACGTCGTTACCGAGACTTAATGATCAATCAGACACCCGACCCGCCGAAAGTAAGGTTCGCGCACTGACCGCTCTCTCTCCACCGCTTAACGACGCATCCGCAGTGGAGTGAGAATCCTCAGCTCCAGCAACTTCGGAAACATTTTCGACACACGCGGGCCTGTCAGCGAGGAAGAGCGCGATCCGCACGCGCTTCCCTCGGGTCGGGATCCTCGTCGGGGCGCGAGCGGCACTTATCGCAGAGAATGAAGCGAGCCTCAACAAAGCGAACTTGATCTGAATGTGGACTTTTTATTCGGCCTCAGAAACAGAAGAAAACTATTTGCATTGGAATCCCGATTCACGAGCAGGTAGAACGGAACTCGGACGTGTCAGAAAATTATAACGAGCCGACGCGACGTCCTGCGTCATCCGCAGCAGCTCGAACTCCGTAGAAACATCGGAGTTCCTCAAATCGCACAAGCGGTAGGGTTCAGGTCCATTGTTCCGATTCAAGATCGATTCGAGCTGCTGCTCATCGACGGATATGCATCACGGTCCGATCTCTCCCTCTTTTCGCTTTCGTACAATGGGCATATTTGAAAAGCGCGGAACAATTCAAGACACTTGCATCTACGCTTTTCTAATTCGGCTTCGTTTTTAATATGCGTATCAATGATCGAATCGAAATCCATTGATGAAAGCTCTCAATGATTTCTCCTTCATGACACTTCTTTGAACTATTCTCATTGTGATTGGCGGAGCACTTACGATCCACGGTGACATTGGAGCTGAAATAATCGACGTCAAGTAGGAATGACTGAAAATACTGATACGCTAACGTCGTTGCCGCTGCTGCCATCGCTGTTTCCTTCGTCAGTGACGAAACGTTCCGCTTATAACGACACTTCATTCACGGGACGTCGTCATTGAGAAAAGCCCGCTGTAAACGTAGAGACATCGCGACCTCTGCGATTCATTCACGCTGCGGGTGGCAAACGTTCCTCGACTTCCCCTTCGCGTGACACTTAGGTACCTCCGCTGATTCTGATCATTATGCGCGATGCCCGCGACCGTTCGACCACGAGTCGCTCTCTGTATTCCCTTCGGCACTGGATCGTAGACTACCCACCTCCATTGCCCGGATCCTCTTATGGTTGGAGTGCAGTCTCCTCCGCGGAAAGTTATCTAAGATGGAATTCCGATTTCGCGGGGGAGTCAGAGATAATTCCGAAGATCGATTTCCCAGTCTCGAACAGTTCTGCTCTCCATTTTCCGAGGACTGTTATCCAATCCTCGCCGACGGGAGTCGCTCTTCCTCATTGGCTAATAGATTCGACGTCTTTGACACTTCCGTGATAGGCCTTCGAGTTCACTGTCAGTTTCTCCTCAGTGTTGGCACAGCTTCGCGTGGTTTGGCGGCACCGCATACGTGGCTGGAGTACTATCCGAAGCAGTTGGAAAGGTATTCCTGGCAGGCATCGGGTTTCTGGGACTGAGCGAGAACGCCGGCTGAGTGCCCAGCTGATTGATCGAGCCAGTTTCAGTGCGTCGGCTTGATCCTCCTACTGACAAAGCACTCTGACAACTTGACACCTGGCAACCGGCTCCTCGATGGAACTGGGCATTCTGCGAGCCACAACAATCGCCTCTAATTAGCTTTAGGGAACTCCGAACGTCTTCATCCATTGCTGCTTTTTCCGCGATTCTTATTGTCGCTGTCGTGGTGACCGTTTTTGAGTAGGTACACGATGCAATAGAAGAAATTCATTGTTGTCTCGATGGCGTCAGACCATCGAAGCCCCTGGTCGTCTGCCACTGTTATACAGGTACATTAACGACGGCTTCGTAAAGAACCTGGCAAAGACTCACGGCATTCGATCGAGCGTTCCGACCGCGATTCTAGCCCTCGTCGGGCGCCCCCATCCCGGAGGCATCAATTCATGGATTCGGGAAGATGGCTGGGTCACGGGGGGTACTCGGAGCATCCCGAATGGCTTCTCTCGAGTCTCGAGCCTTCGGATCCTATCCTGACCATCATCGTCGCAGACGCATGAGATACCTCTGCAAGGGAGGAGATCGAGGCGCTCTCCGGGGGAAGCTTGAAAGCTTGACGAGCAACGAAACAGAGAAATGCAAGAAAATTCCGGGGTGTCATCGACGAAGTGGAAAATGATACCTGAGTTTCTGAGGACTTCCTCGGAAGACGCGACGTGCTGACGGCGTTCTGGGAGTGATATACCGAAACTCGCGTCCGCACTGAGACGGTGGCAGCGAACCGAGCAGTGCTATTTTCCCTGCAGGTCCTATGGAGACCTTGACCGTCAGTTTCGCATCTCCTTCGGTTGCTGTTAGTCTTTCCGCAACAGTAACTCCGGAGCAAAGATCTCTAAGTCTCGGAGCGTGAGTTGGACTGAAAAACGCTTCGAGTCTCCCGATCAAGTCAAGCGATTCCGACAGCGCCTTACTTTTCCAGACTCTCAAGCGAACGAATCTTGCACTTTAATGAAAAAATCGGCGGGCAGGGTGTGCATTTTCTGGTTTAGACGTTCTGCGCACAGTTCAACGAAACATGTTGATGCGCGCTGTCTTCTCTTTCATCCGGGATCACTCTTATCGATTTCAATGAAATTGTGCCGCTGCTCATTGTTCTTGAAGCACAGCTGTCTAGCATAATGCGAGGAGAACACATGACATTGAGAATCACCAAGTCACCATGTGATTCAAATGGCGACTACTTAACGAACCCGGCGTGCTTTCAATCTTAGACACAGCTCAGCTGGTTCTAGGGACGGCTTTCGGAATCCGAGGACGAAAGAATGCGTGTTTCCCTTCACGAGAGCGTTTGCGGAGGCATGCGACGCGGGGTTTTGCTCTGCGAGTCTTTATGGCCTCGAGCTTCTTCAGCGTTGGTGGGCGGTGCTCCAAGTATCGATTCCCTGAATTCGGGTCGAAATTCTCCAGGTTCGAGTCGATCGGGTACATGGGAAGCTAGGATTCGTCCCGGGAATGGAAACGATATCACGTGGCTCAATCATTGATTCAAGTGATATTTTCTTGCAGAAGTTGAACATGGATGATCTCCACCGACAGAATTATCAAAATGCGCAACGGGGCGCGCCGACGAGAGACCCGTACACTCACGTCGGACTCGGTGATGCATATAGCGAGGTTCCGAAAGAAAAGGTAAGCTCATTTTTTCCCGCAAGCCGCTTCTCACGCAAAAAAAAACGCTTTTCTCAGACTTTGCCAGCGCAGAACGCTGTGTTCCGCAGCTGTCAAAAGAGTCCAACAAGTCATCCACGGACCTCTCGTTTGACGTGCAGCGATTCCATTGTGCAAGGGTCTGTACTAGCCTCCTGGAAAAACATGAGTCCGCTGATAAGTTCCTCCGCTTCTGGGAGAACTGCTACCAAACAGTTCATCACTCTGGAATGGTATTACACTCATTTTACGAGTTCGGATATTCCTAGTGGCATTCCACGACACTGCCTCTCGGAGTTATCGCTTGGAGATTCTAAGCCGCTGGTGGGATTGTAAACGGTGAAACACATCAATGACGGATCTCTACTCGAGTCGTAGAATCGACGTATTGTTTTTAGAATTTTCGTCAGCCTTGTTCGCCGAAGCGAGCTCTGGCTGATTCCATGATGACCGCCGGATTCTGTTCTCCGCGCGCCGTATCGGTTGCGTTTTTCAGCCGATGAGACGCTCCCACATGGACTGTCCATCACGCCGACATTGCAAGGAACGCCATAAGTTCCGTTTTCAATGTCTCGTACGGAGAGATTTTGAAACCGCTTCAATGCTAATCATCTGGGCACTCGTGAAACACCCCGTCGGAGTGGCGGCGGAATTCTGTACGACCAGAAAAATCAGTGAAGCACCTTGGCATGTGGCAACGCTGCGTGCTTTCGTACCAGCGACAGAGATAGGGGGATGGCTTCCAAGCAGAACTTCTATCGATGTTCGAAGTCGATCCACATCTCTAACCGTTCATTCCGCGGATCGGATGACGGTCCGAGATCCTGCAGGTACCAGGTTCACGGTCGATATGAGTTCATGACTCGCAAGACTAGAACGTCGTCTCCGTCAATTCTCCTGGGCCCAAATGGAAGTCCTCTTGTCCGGTTCACTGACCAGACTTTTGCGCCTGAAAAAATCCCTAGAGGGTGAGAAATCTAAATTCGATATGAGAACGGAATTCTCTGCACTGCTCAGAGCACATTATCGTTGCTTCAACGATGCTCGAAGTTATTATCGTCGGCTTTATTCCTGTCTATTCCTGTTCGTGAAGCTATGAGTCATGGCTGGAAGAGCCTTGAGTATTTGAATGATCCAGCGCGACAATGGATGTAAACGTTTGTATTTGAGAACGGATCGAGAACATGCATGGGACAAGTGTAAGGAGCGTACGCATGCAAGCCCTTCGCTTCTTCGAAACATGGAGCGTCGATTGACGATTCCCGGAAAGCTGATAAATCGATGCGGGGGGATTCATGAGTTCGCGCAATTCAGGCCGCTTCGTATCGTAACGTAGCTGAGAATCCACGGTGCAGTTATTCCAATCGAACGTTTTCTTCTGTAGAACCATCGATGGAAGACTATCGCGCGCTCGATGACCCCTTCCGCATCGAAGGTGCAACAGTCAACGATACGATTGTTTCCCGTGATAACGTGGCTTTCCTCGTACCGCGTGAAGGACTACCTCCTTCCCGATATTGTCACCGGATTCACCGTTGCCATGTTCCAAGTTCCTCAAAGTAGGTCTCCAGCGCAACATTAACGAGCGCTCGGCTTCATTTCGAACGATCTTTTAACGACGCCGATATTGTGAGATAGAAGAACTCATTTCCGTAATTATATCCAGGTTTGGGATACACGCTCCTCGCGGCGGTGCCCCCAGTTTTCGCTCTGTACAATGCCATGTTCCCCATGATGATCTACATCCTCTTCGGAACCGTACGACAGGCATCGGTCGGTGCCGATGCTATAGTTTCCATGATGACCGGAGGAGTTGTTCGCCAAATCGTCGGCGACATGTCTCACACCTCCCATCCCGTACACGACGTCGTTGACGCAGCTAACGGCAACGGCTTCTCCGTTCAAGAAGTCACCTCGACTCTGTGCGTGACCGTCGGAATTATTCAAGTGAGTGGAGAAAGAAGTCCTTGCAGACACGAGAACATACATTCGATTCAGATAACAGTCGCGAGCCTCCTTGCGACCAGCTATTAATTCGAGAACATCGTTCCGTAACAACGAGGGAATCGACCCGCTGAATTGTGAAAATAAAGCGCCTCCCACTTCCAAGCTCGGTTCCGGGGAGGGAGTTCTAGTAAATTCGAAATCCTTCTGTTGCCTCCCGATCGGAGTGACGAATTTTTCGTCCTTGCTCGCAGCCCCGATCGTTTTCTCATGATGAGGTCGTCAAATTCATTTTCCCCGTTTTCAACGCAATCGAGGAAATGCGGCTCTCGACTTTCTTCTCCACAGTGTCCTCGACTCATGTCACGCGATCAGAGCAAAACCTTCTGATTTCAGCTCGTCTTCAGCTTGTTGAATTTGGGGAGCCTCAACGTTTTCCTCTCTGAGCAAATGGTGAACGGATTTGCTACCGGGGTCGCTGTGCAAGTTGCCCTATCCCAGATGGGGTCGATATTCGGCCTGACGATCCCTCATTTCTCAGGAATGTTCACTGTGTACAAGGTGAGCTTCCCGGACGCCTCTTGGAGTCTCGGCCGCCGTCTCCGTCTCGAGCCAGTGACCGGAGACACAGGAAGCCCATTGCATCCTGAGAAGAGTCTACGTACACATCCAATGAAATAATAATTGATAGCGATGCATGAGTCCCACATAGGCTCGTTTGGTTGCTCGCATCCTTCATAGGCAGAATAAACGCCGGCGTGTGGAGCACCATTTTTATCAGGCGTGAGATTGCTATAGCTGATTTTGATCATATCCTAAATAGTCAACGCGTCGCGCTCCGTCATTTCAGACATGTGTGGCATTCTGGGCACATATCGCAGAAACACATTACCCGACACTCATCGTTTCAACGATAGCGATTTCACTCATACTATTCGTGAAAATCGTTCCCGATCCCATCGCCGTACGCAAGTGAGTTTCTCGGCAGAGCTGTAATTACAGCTCTCTCAGACGCGGCATCGACGTCGACAAAGGCTCGTTGTTTGCCGCTATGGATTGCAATGAGATGAATTGTTCTAACTACGCGTGATGTTTTTCCCAGATGCGGTTTGCCGCTGCCAGTCGAGTTGGTCACGGTGGTTCTGTTCACGGCGGTCTCGTATTTCATGCAGTTCGAGAAAAGCTACGGAATTCAAGTTGTCGGGGAGATTCCAGAAAAGTAGGACAATATTCCAAGGTCAAAGGCCTCGATCGAAGGTCACGTGGTTCATTCCGCCGACGAGAACACGGGAAGGAGTTTCATAACGCCGTTATGTCCTATTCCAGGCTGCCGGTTCCACGAGCTCCGACCTTCAACCCGGCTCTTCTTGAATTGATTTGGGTCGACGCCTTCGCGATGGCGGTCGTGTCCTTTGCTATTACTCTTTCGCTTGGTAGAATTTTCGGACAGAGACACGGCTACGAGGTCGACGCCAATCAGGTAGGTTTCGCGAAGGACTGAGTAGGTATTTTCCGATCGGGGCTCATATCTGACGACGACAACTCTCGAATAATTGTTTCAGGAATTCCTCGCTCTGGGCTTGTCTCATATGTGGTCATCGTTCTTCTCGTGTTTCCCTATCGCTGCTTCGGTGCCCAGGAGTGCAGTTCAGGAGAACGCAGGCGGAAAAACGCAAATCGTTTCAGTCGTGAACATCTTAATTATTTTGTTCATGGTGCTCTTCCTGGGGCATTACCTCGAACAGTTACCGGTCGTGAGTGCAGACGTTCCAATGAAATCAAAAAGAACTTCGATATGCATCGACAGCATAATATTTTCTTAGGACATAATATGCTGTCAACATATGTGAAGTTAGGATCATGCTCTAGAATTAGATGCGACGCTCAGAATCGGTCGCTCCCGCTTGCGCCTGTCGCACTGACGAAATTCGAGGATTCGTGACGAGATCGTGTGAAGATGATCCATAAATAGAGAGTGGCGTCCAACGTTTCTCCGTGAGGTCTAACCTCCTTACCCCTTCCTCGCTTCTTAGTGCGTCCTCGCCGCTATCATCGTCACATCTCTGAAGAAAATCGTGATGCAGGTTCAAGACTTCAAGCGGTACTGGGATTTATCCAGAATCGATGGGGTGAGTAAGAATATCGGCATTTTCGTCAGAACGTCATCCGATCGGAATACTCGTCGCGAGCGATCTGTTCGTGGAATAATGTGCAGAATGCGCGCGCGATCGAACTCGACAGCCAGACATCGGAGTACTCTACGGAGAGATGCTGGCTGGCGGGCTTACTCAGATGACCTTGCGATCGGCTACGAATAGGCCACGTGGATTGAGCGTAACCTGACGTCGCGGACGTGTTTCCAAAGAGAATGAGGAGCGTCTCCCTCGAAAAAAGGTTCCACTGTTAGTTCGAAAATGAGCCCAGCCTTTCAATTCAGTAACCTTCGGTAAGCCTTCAGGCCGCTCCGAAAATCAACATGCGATCACGGAAGGGGAACGATTCAGAAAGGGATGAAAGGAATCCGATGAGTAGTTTACCTGTGTCCCGTTACGAGCGCGTGACGTTCCAGGCAGACAGCGGCATTGAAAATTCCCTTCGGAAATACTGAGTCGTTGAGCGATCGACAAATAACATTTTAGGACAGCTCTCCGCAAGCTCGGTGGACGTCACTGACCGTGAGCGCGACAGCTAGGCACTCTTGAATGCGAGAATTTCCCGCGTCCATCTAGCTCAAAAGCATCACATGCCTTCGGCCTTGTCGACGTCGGACTTTGCGATCATCCGAAACTTTTATCCGATTTTCCATTTGCCCGAGATCGATCCCGAAGACGGAATTTCTTTCGAGCGGACTCGCGGCTCATGAGCCGCCGAAAAGGTCAATATCGCCCATACTTCTGCGCTGTGCAAGCAATGCAGCAGCCAGTTCGGAATCCGAAGTCTGGAGATCACGATCTCGAGATCCCATGTCGTCGACATGCTCGAAGGTTCCCCAGCGGTCGGGATTTCCGGCTAAGGATTTCTAGATAGAGAATCAATGGCTTTCCTTGTCTTCGGGAAGACTGAGAGGAGGGCGACGTGTATCACATGCGAACAACCGTTCGGGATCTCGAGCGAGGAATACACCGGGAAAACCTCAGGAGAGGCTTCCGTCCGATGGAGTTTGCTCTTAGTGTCTTTGTTCGATCTTCCTGAGCCGTATATCATCAGCTTCAAGGGATTTTATAAGAAATGCTATGCGCCATTTCTCCCGAGGTCAGCGATCGCGAGACCCCGATGATAGCGTATTCCCCGGCTCAGTTCTAAGATTTTCGCCTTCTATTACAGCAAGTTTGGTTGGTTTCATTTGTCGCGACCATCGCCCTCGATGTCGTGTCGGGTCTGATCGTCGGAGTTGTCTTCTCCCTTATGACACTTGTGTACAAGGTAAGGCAAGACCTCATGCTCCGAGCGCGATCTAGACTCCCCGGTATTCAATCGATTGATCGCATCGTATTGACACCGCCTAATTCTTGAATTTTTCCCTACTCCATAGGTTCAACATCCGAAAACCTGCTTGATGGGTCAAGTTCCCGGAACAGAGTTCTTCGTGCCCGCGAAACGTTACAAAAGGGTGAGCGGGAAATTTCGGCGTCCATCTGAGTCCGCTCCCTTATTGGTGGATATTTCCGACTTCGGTCGAAGCTGTGCAAAACTTGAGAGAGAGGAGGACCCAGCTCCCCATTCCTCCCGCGTTATCTTTCCTTCGGAATAAGCTAAGAGTACCGTGATCATGTTCAGGTTACCGAAGTTCCCGGGGTGAAGATCTTCCACTTCGGCGGACCATTGCATTTCGCGAACGCCGAGTTCTTTAGGGAGAAGCTCTATGAAACTCTTGGATTCACAGTGAAGCAGCTCCGACGAGCGATCAAGAAAGCAATCAAGAACGATTCTCAAGACAGCCTGCAAGCTGCCAAGGTATGAACGGTTCGCGGACGAGCTCCGGGAGCAATAATTTCCTCTGTTCCTGAAGGCTATGTGTCTCATTCCTAGAAGCTTTCAAGCGATACAGAGAGAGAACTCGAAAAAACTTGAATAAGTCCCCCGAATCGCAGGAGACTCAGGTGTACGAGAGATGCGTGACAACCCTGGAAGTTAGCAAAAATAATGTGGTGCCGGTCCCGACGGATATCGTTTTCGACCTATCCCGAGTCTCGTGGATGGACGGGAGCTCCTCAAACATGTTGAAAAGTATCACGAGGGACCTGACTTCTGTGGGAATCCACGTCTCCATAGCTGCCTGTACACGTAAGGATCAATCCCTTGAGCTAGCAATATGCTGAGATAGATCAGCCGCGTACATATACGATCCGGGATTAGGATGATAACCGAAGAGCTGCGAAATAATGTGTTCCCCCCTCTTCCTCCTTCTTGTAGCCAATCTCTTCCGCTTCTTGAAAAAATGTGGAGTGGTCGAGGACCTTTCTCCGTCGAACTTCTATCCCACCGTATACGACGCGGTCCGTGCTGTCCGCATTACTCCGGGTATCACGCAGCCGCAGATCATCTCCGTTGTGTGAGTTCTTCGCTGTTTCCCCGGTTATTGTGAATGATCGGATGCGACCAGATAGAGGAGGATTAGAACGAGAGCAACTCTCTTGCAGGGCTTCCCTCTGAGCCGGACGGGATCACACAGACTCTGAGTTGATACGAGGAGTGCTCCCTTGGAGCGCGTTCAAAGCTGTACAGTCCATTTCATGGATAACATTGTCCCCGAACCGACGAGCGGCAGGCGGATTGATTCCACCTGACCGCCGATCCCTTCCTTCTTCCGAATGCTTTCACCGCGAGCCCACGAGAATTTATCGCATTTATATCCTACGTGTCTTACGAAATGCCTGTTCACCACGTACAGAGTGGTGCTAAGACTCACCGGTAGACAAGCGCTGCCTTACGATCAATCTTTCATCTCCGAAGGTTCACTCTCACGCGTTCAATTCTTGAACTCGAATATTCGCTCCAGATTGCGGCTCGAGTCCATTAGGAGCGAAATAGACTGTAAGCATACACGACAGCCGATGTCTTCACGTATTTACGTGAGTGATATGTCACTCCCGCGCCCCTGAACGACGGGAGCACGTGTCCTTCTCGAGTAGATATCGCAGAAGAAATCGACAAAGACAGGCCGATTGGTTCACGCACATGTTGAGTAGGGACGGAATACTCTGTAGACTTTCCCCTGATGCGATCAACCCCATTCCCGAGAGCGAGTTTGAAGCCTCCGTTTGATCTCTTGCTCCTCCGAGCTCGAGATGGATTCCGATCAACCCCGCATCCAGAGGAAGTTGTCAAAGGTTTTAGTTCCTACCCGAGTATATCGTTTCATTATTTATATTCATGATAGAGGCGACGATTGGAGGAAATGCATGTTCAGAGGACGTTCATTCATCGGGATTCTAGAGGAGTCGTCACCGCTCGTGAAAGTAGAAGCGCCGCCCGCTTCACACAGGATTCTGGAAAACTTGTATAGCAGCGAGAGATGAGATGACAGGATGGACGACCCGAGAGCCCCGTGCGTTTTGCGACTGAGGTCGGAGTTTCGACGTCATATCGGGACTTGACGATTTAGGTAGCGGTCGAAATGCTAAAAAAGTTGTCTTTGAGATCCGCTCAGCTGCTCGGAGCTCTCACGATGGCAATCCTTGTTACCATTGCGTTGATTCTAAATGAGTGTATGTTGGTTCCGTGAATTCGTTCTATGAATTAGAATCTTGAGGCGTTCCCATCTGCGGAAGATTTCTCCAATGAACGCGAGAAACATACTCCTGTACATAGATTACATCCGCGACGAAAATGCATGGTGTAAGAAAGCATACAAACGAAGTAAGTGAAGTGTTGTTGGATTGTCCGAAAAGAACATTTCTGGTGTCGAGATTGCAAATAAAGAACGAGGTTAGGTCGAACTCCCTGCTTTTTTGAAGTTGTGTGAGACCGGGAACCGTTGATGCTGGCAGTCTTGTAGATCCTGAAGTAATCTGCAAATAACGAAAGCATCGATGCCAATAAAGGGTTGACTATTCTCCGAGATGTATCGCGAGAAAGCCTTCTATGTTGAAGTGCTTAGGAATGTCCCGGAGGGATATCTCAAGGGAACATATCAACCACGGAATACTCTTCCCATCTCCACCATCCATCGTAACATTCCAAGGCTCCGAATATGTTGCTGGCTCCAGCTCACTCTCGCGAAGAACTCCCTTTATGTTGACCATCGGTCCCCGAGAGAAACTTAGCTTTCCCTCCCCATGGGACCACCCTCTATGCAATCGGCTAGTTCCTGTGAAAGACACTGGACAAGTTGGCTCCTCGCCGTACTGAGGAATTGCTGATATTCAGAACATACCGAAAGCTTCCGTAGCCGAGCGAAATGCGCCACCGACTGGGCGGGGCCTATGCGTATGTCGATAGGAGGAACGCTGTTCTCGAATGCTGCCTCTCATGGTCATCGTCTAGATTGCATTTGGTACTCCGGGTGATCATTTGCTGATGTATAGTGCAGTGCAGAAGGAAGGTTTCTACCGGACCTCTAAGGAAATCGGTGATTGTACTCCACATCTCAGCGTCATCACCCGTCAATCCTCACGCTCCGCGATCAATCACTGAATCTCGGGATGAAGAAGATGAATTCGTTCCTGCGTCGCGAAACAAAAGGGAGATAACTGGTGTCGTTGTCTCGGGCGGGAAGAACAGGTGTGAAACTCTTCGAGCGCTCCATTGATGACGATCCGTTCATATGATCACATCGATATCAGAAATCTTCTTTATTGAATCGGACTTGAAAACAATTTTAGAGGAGCGCTGCTTCCACGAACGCTCCCGAGAATCGACGGACTTGTCTCAAAGCAAAGTGAATGATATGTATGTATATATATATATATATATTAGTAGGGGGTGATATAACTTCATATGTATATATATTTATAGCCCAGATCGAGGCTTCATCTTCTATCGGATTCTGATGGAGTCTTCAGTCAACGCAGAGTTAAAATCCACCCGAACGAAGGTGTCAGCAGGACTCAGGAACGTCAGATCTCGGTATCGCGCTGTTGGGCTCAAAAATTATCGCCCTTATCAGTCCATCAACGATGTGGTCTTCAGTCGCGCATCGCGACCGGTAACAATATCGGGAGTCCCTTCAGAAAACAAAGAAGAATCGAATTCCGAGAGCGAGATTGAAATAGGGTGACTCTAGAAAGAAATCATCGAGCCGAGAGCCGAGTAGGGGCAGCGGACCAACACCTCTTATCTCAAGCGTCAAGAAATATCCCGAAAGATTGGCCATCTCTGGCAGACGGCGAGTCTCCAGAATACGGGCACCTTTCGGGGGACTGCAAAAGCACGCATACAGTCTCCAATGGACGGTAGGAGATTCAGAGTCGAGCTCCGAAAGAGAGTTGATAGTTCTCCACCGGGCGTGTTCGACTGGAGGTCCCGCGAATGTCAGAGATTATTTCTGCTGTTGATACCTGCGCAGGAAATCTTCCACGATTCCCTCCACGGAGGGAAACAAATGAAAAGGCAGTCTCTGATGAGCAGCTTTTTTATGGGCGTTCATGAGGCGTTTAAATGCTTGCCCTGGCGGAAGGGGAGCAGAAAATCGATTCCTCAAATCCCCTTCCGGAAACTTCCCCGGCTACTTCTCCGCGGCTAAGCGGTCGTATATTTGGGAAACGGAAAATAGGCGGGCCCGCCCGTCTAGTCAGATCTGCAGGTTAAATCGCCAAAGAAATGCGAGTCAAATATACAAGAGTTAACGATGAGCTCTGATGGAGACGATTCCTTGTACTCATTCGCAAGAGCTGCTCGCCGGCGACATCACTTCACTTTCGCTCTCTGAACGAGGGAAGCGATTCGTATAAACTGTATAGTGTATTTACAATCAACTGATTGTTCAATCAATTGGGAGACTGAGCCGAATGCTCCAATGACATCGATCAGTGTCAATCCATATCAAGTGTTGGGACATTACTTCCAACACGATGCTTTGTGCGCCTCGAAAGAATTTGTCTGCGCGACTCCCTGCCGGTGTTGGTGGAACTACGAGGATTGAGAGCGATCTTGGTTCTGGGCCGGTTTAGTTCAGTTTGCTATGTCTGAGTCCGTACGTGAAATAGCCAGTGAGACCTGCAATCAGATTTCGCCATCAGTACACGGGTAGCGTTATTGGAGAGCTCGACGACCGGAATACATCCTTGATCGTGAAGGAGCTCCAGACCCAGTGTGCTCCTTACCGATTGCGAGCCAGAGGACCAATCTTCCCCAAGTCAGAAGTTGGAGTGTCGTCATCAGGATGGCGTTAACTATGATCGAGCAGACCGGGAGTACTGGCACCCAAGGCATCTGAAATAAGGGTTCAATACTGGAAATGCAAAGAAAATGCCGACATGTAGAATTTATTTCCGCTAATTACCATTATCTATCATTACCTTATATTTCTGGGGTTCTTGGCACTGTTCGTGAGACACGATGAGGAGGAACGAGAGGATCATGATGACTATCAAGCTGATCACGATCATCATCGAGTACCATTCGTTGATATGGTCCCAGTTGTACTTGCAGAAGAATCCGAGAATGAAGGTGCAGATCGTGATCAGACTCACGCAAACCGAGATCACCGTTTGCTGGTTGCTTTCTCTCGGGAACAAGTTGCGCAGGAATTCAACCCGTGGTTTGAGATGCTGACCAGCTGGGTCATATTCGAGGTGAACGCCGTTCGTCGCCTGATTTCCGATAGGTTTCATCTCCTGGTCCATCTGTGAACGGCATCCGAAAGTTAGAGTTCCGCCTTTCAATTCGTGTTGTTAGTCAAGATTATATTCGCAAGCGGTCAGTGATTATAAACTATTTAATCGAAACAAAGCGGCTCGATAGAGCTCGTTAATCGACGCTCCATGCCGTGTTAGTCGTTGCTGAGCCTCCGTCGATCATATGATCAGGGAGGTGGGAAGATGGCAAGCTGAATCGATATTCTTCTCTGAAAGGGGGTGGGGGATCTCTTCGGTGCACAACTACCTTGAGTAGGGTGTTGGGCCTGTAGCGGAATATGATCACTCCGCCAGACACCACCAGATACGCAGACAGAGTCCCAATAGACATCATTTCTACGAGGGTATCGATATCCAGAACCACGGCGAGGACCGCGGCCAACAGAGAGAAGACATACATGGCGATCAGCGGGATCTGGGACTTCTTCGCAACCTTCCCGAAGATGCTGCAGGAAGAACTCATCCGATCAATGGGGCATTAATTCTCCTCTCTCGTATCGAACTCGATCGAGAGCTTCCCGCTTCGGTGACCTTTTGATCAGGTTCTATATAAGAGGGCTTCAGCTTTCAGGTCACTGCAGCTGATCGCAGTCCTCGAGACCCACCTGTGGATTAGCCCGTCATCAGCCATGGCATAGGCTATACGAGTCAGAGCATAGAGTGTCCCGATCAAGACTGTGGACATCCCAGCGAGGGCACCAACGGTGACAGAAATTTCAGCCCAGTGAGCGCCTGCGAAGCAAATGCTACGTTTACTAATCACAGAGAGCAACCCGAAGATTTCCAAAAGAGATGGTTTCGACCACCAGACAGCCATCTTGAGATTGATATCGCCGCGCCTTCGTATTCGTCGTAGTCCGATTACCTTTCGAGCCTAGAGCAGCCGGAAGTCCCGAGCTATGGGCGATTTCAGTGTATTTCACCATCAGAGTCAGAACTGCGGAAACCGATATGTACAAGGCGGTGACAATCGCCATGGACAGAAGGGTGGCCACCGGCAGAGATCTGGAAAAAATGTGATCTAGATGGAATCTCATTACGAGCTCTTCCTCTGCGATAGGATAGAATCGGACAACAAATGGAACGCCGGCACTTCAGTTTGGAAAAAATAGATAGACTTATTCTTGCGGAGGATCCACGTACTTTTGAGGATCCTTGGCTTCTTCACCAGAAGCCGCGATCGAATCGAATCCCACATAGGCGAAGAAGCACGTTGCTGAGGCGGACAATACACTACTGAAACCATTCGGTATGAAGCCACCTTGACCATTCTCGTCAACTTTCCAGTTGTCCCAATCGGCATAGTGGACACCCACACCAACGATCACGATCAGGACAACGATGTTTATGGAGCAGAGGAGATTGTTGAGCCACGAGGTCGCTTGAACTCCAACGGACATGAACGCCACGTAAGCCACGATGATCAAGAACGCTAGGAGATCAGCATGCTCCGAGAACAGAGACTTCGCGTCTTCTCCGGAAGAAACCATGGCCAAGGCTTCGAACGTTGGCGAGTTGCCGGCAGCGTCGGTCAACGGAGCGATTGTCGTCGCGACGGCGGTAAGGTTCTTCGACGATCCCAATGCACCTATGTTTGTCATCAACCAATTTCGGATGACTCCGCCGCACAGGTTGTCGATGTATTCGCTGCAAGCGCGAGCGACGGCCGAAATACCTGCAAAGAATCGTCCATTTTTACTCCCATAATCGTAAAGGGACGTTTTCGGAGGGTAAGTTCCTCTCTCCAAGATGTCGGGTCAGAAGACAGAAGTTTCGTGAAGCCTAGGTAGAGGTCGAATTCGGGTCGAAACTCACCGATTACGTTTTCTAGGAGCACGTTCCATCCCACGAAGAACGCCCAGAATTCACCGACGGAGAAATACGAATAGGAGTAAGCGGATCCTGCTCTTGGGAACTTGACGCCGAACTCCGCGTAGGCGAGAGCAGCCAGGAGGGAGGCTATTCCCGCGACGAGATACGAAAGAATGATTGCAGGACCTGCGGATAGTGTCCGGAAACTCAGCATTTTGCATGCGCCTAGGACGCCATTTCTTCCAGAGTTTATTTCGCTTCCCGCAGCCTACAACTACGCCGAGCAACCATATCCGAAGGAATTAACCGCAAGCTCGGAACTTATCGAGATTACGATTGACTTCGCTCCGCTAAATGTTTCTCCGCCGAGTACCCTCACAACGGAGTCGAGTCCGATTCGCTAAGGCTTGGATCGCCGATTCTCGTCGTGTTGGAGCTCTGAATGGGATGCTCAACGACTCACGTGGGCTGATTTATTGACACTTGGCCCGCATTATTTGTTCGGGTGTTTCTGTCCAATGTCAGATATCCATGGCAAAGCCGCGTGAGCACACTTGCGCGCTTGAATTGTACCGACTGCGAACTACACAGTCGGATGATACAGCTTGGTGATTTAGGGTTTCGACCGACCAACGACTCACCAGCGACATCCCTCGCTACCGTGGGTGTGAGCACATAAATTCCAGATCCCATCATGTGACCGATGCCTAGCAGCGTGATATCGAACGTCGTCAAACATCTGGAAAACGTTCGGAATTCCGATTCTGAACTGCTCATTTCGGATAGAAACGTGGATTTACGTCGCTCGAGCCTCATCCGGCCGCCAAGCACTAGCCTTCATCGAGTGAGATGGAACTTCGATAAAGAGTTCGACTTACCTCTTCAAATTCGTCTGCATATGATCCTCCTCCATGTGCTTTTTGCGAGTTAGCTTCGCGAAGAGGGAAGCCATGTCGAAGTTTCTGGATCAAGCCCTCTGGAAATTCATGCGAATCAGTGGCCAAAGTTTCGTACTTCAGTCGTACTAGAAGGATGGTCGCGGGGCGTTCGGCTTCCTTTCAGCGACGGAATTAAGCCAGAACCTCGACTCGAAGCGAATTTTTCTAATCTACGAAATACTTTGGGAGCGGGCGTCCACAGTCGGAACATCTGCTCGGAGAGACCGCGTTTGCCGCAGAACGCTCGAATCCCGCTGGAGAAAATTCAAACGAGGTCACCGAAGGAGTCGCGTGTTCCGAGCGCTTTACCGCTGTATTGGTCAGAGGAACATAACAGCGATTGTTCCGGATCCCAAGACGGCCAAATGGCGCCGGCGGTTAAAACGGAAAGAGACCCTTCTAATGACTAGGATCCGGCTCCATCGATTCAAATCCAAGCTCTTCATCAACATTGTCCGAGCGGGTGCGCATAAGGATGGAGAGCTAATCTCCGCGACAGAGGTATGATCTTTGACTGAATCTCACCCTCGGTGGAACACGCCCGTCTGAATATGGCTCTTGAGCTCATCAGTCTACCTCGGGGAAGCAGGTCCCTGATTGGGGAATGGCGATAGACTCCCCCCGTGTACCAGGCGCAGCTCAAAACCCCCCTCTCCCGTTAGATGTCCGCAGGAATAATCGCTGCTCCGAATGAGCTTCGCGACTCAAACGGAAACTTAGGAGATGGATCGAAGAGTCCTATCTCCTCACGGAGTATCTTGAACGTGGTGATGACGAGACGATTCTTCGACGAGAATTTTATATGAAGTGAGAATTCGAAGAGATGCTCGAGAGTTGTAAGAGCGAAGGATTCGACATGGAGAGGTGGCAGCGTACGGTGCTGACCTTGAAGACGCCCCGACCACGAATCTGAAATTTCGGCTCGGGTGCGCACGGTGCGGATACGCATTCGACGGGCGAGCGAGCTAGCGCATTCAGCTGGTCACATTTACCACTAATAAATTTCAGAGTGGGCGTTTACATTTTCAGAAAAACTCTTCACTCGCATGCTTCCACTTTTTGTTCTTCTTCGTGACCGGCCTAATGAGGAGGACTTTAGCGTTCTGCGCTCAATACGCAGTGAGCGAGAGCCGCTCGAGATCGAATCCGAAAATTCCAAGAGCACGTTCGCACAGAGAATTTTACAAGCAGTCAAAGAATTGTATCGTGTATGCGATCAAGAGACCCATCCGATCAATCAAAGTCATATTCGTACGGTCGGTCGGTCGTACTGGCTGCCCGCCGATAGTGGTCTTCTGTCGGCTCTCCGAACAGGACCTCGGAAACCTATTTGGTAAATTTCGCCTTTTTATGACTTTATTTCAAGCAAGGTCACGACGAGAGCAATATCCCCGGCTGCGGTAGCCAGGACTCCTCTGGCATCGGCAAGTTAAGTAATCACAACTATAAACATGATTTGGATGACTACACTCTTGTTCCGCCGAAGCTGCTTGTCATGCAACATTACTGCGCGATCGATGCAAATCCTTTGCTCTGCTCGAGCCAATGGACCACCAGTCTCTAGCCGTTCCGCGCACTATATCGTACAACGATTTTAACAATGCGGTTCACAGAATTCGTTTCTACTGCGCAAGGGAAGAGATTCGCAAGAATGGGTCACAGGAGCGCCGCTCCAATCTTCCGGCCATCGAACGAGGAGCGTCTGTATGTGAAGGTGAGAAGTTCTCGGTGCTTCGAGGGCTGGACAAGGAATAGAAGGAACGGGCTTAGCCGGAGAGCATTGATACAAGATAGAAATTTGATACGCGATCCTCTAAACGGTCAGATTGTCGTTGCTTCCCTTTTTTTTTCAGTTTGACTCTACTTGAGCGTAGACTAGCGGACGCCAAACTCTCCGGTGAAATCGAGCTCACTGGCCGAGAAGCCATCAAGCAGGTCGGAGTTATCCGTCGGGCGTTCGCCATCGATAGCGACGAGAAGGAACAGCTCGAATGAAGGCTCAGTCCGTGCAATTCACTATTCGAGTCGACGAGATTGATCTCGATGATATAAGGAAAACAATCAGAGGCGTATCGGAGTCTTCGCTAGAAACGGGCATCGGCGACTGCCCGACCTAAAGGGGCATGCATCTCGATGCATCCGTATGGCCGCGCAGTTCGGTGGAGCCCAAATTGAACCAAGTAGTCCGGGATGCGTTTTCTGGCATCTCTAGACGAAAGAAGGACTGTCGATGAACGAAGAAGCCGCAGACGAGCGAAGGGAAAGACTGACAGACACTTCTTGGCGATCGTGTCCGATGGTTCCCGGCAAAAGCCAGAATTCCGGGCAGCAAGTTGACAGCACGAAGGGGCAAGAGTTCCTTCGGGATTTTCCGCAGTGTCCACGACAAAGTGCTGTCAAGACTATTGCACCAGAGTTTGAATCAGAAGCTTGCTTTCCGGAGACTCGACTAACAAGATAGCTAATTCAGTAATAGAACGTCCTCTACGACTGCGGGACCAGATCGACTCCGCTTCTCGGTGCATCAGATTCACTATATAGCGGTGGGGAATCTCAGAAGAGCCTCGGGAGTCCCTCAAGATCTCTTCCCCATGCCCCCAGAACAGCGAGGAGGCATTCTTAACAAGAGCGTATCGTCTGCGAAGGACTCGAAGGGGAATCTCTGAGCACCACTGCTATCAAGCACAATATCTGAAGAAGTCTAAAGAGGGCTCACAAGGAGAAGGTAGGCTCCCACTCTCGGTGTTGATGCTCCAGATGGTTTAAGGCCGGCGTAAGTCTCCGTCTCCCTTAGTCGTGAGCGAGTTCCGACACACCCGATCACCAGCTTAAGCTTTATGCCGTTTATGCACGTGGCCGGTCTTCTAGCTCAGGCTGAAAGCAGTGCGCGCGGTTTCACTCGTGGAGGGCTCGGAGGAGATGGAGCATTTTTGGGAGAGAGTTGCTTTTATACTTGAAGACGGCGACCTTGGAAGCCGGCAGAGGGCATCGGGCCCTCTCCGATGGCCCTCCACGAGGGCCTCCACTCGACCGTCTTTTGAATACATTCACATGATTCCCACGAATCGGAAGCATGCCTTCCACATCGACGCAGACGCGATACATGCCTCGCCCGAACGCATTAGACGAGCTCAATAAACGATGTAACGCATGTGAGCACTAGTCGAAAGCGTTGTCCTGGGACTCCGGGCGTGGAACCGTACGAATGATCTCGATTCGGGCTCGGCAAGCGATGACCCTTTGCGGGAGAGCCGAGTTCGTGATGGGCCAGCATGGATCGTGATTGAGAGTTTGTCGAGAGCACCGAATGTTTCCCTCCGTCGAATCCGATCATGAACACAAGCGGAAGAGCGGATACTCACGACCGGCAGGGGAAGAGATCGACAAGTGTAATCGGATGATCAGCTCTCGGTGAGACTTCTTGTACAGAATCACTCAACGGAATGACGCTCGACGGTAGGCATTCCGAGAGAGTTCCGTCACAGTTTCAGACGCAGTCTCCGCAGGCTCTCCATCAGGCCTTCCGTGGGAATGCCTTCGATACCTTCACCTATGGCTATTCCCAATACGATAACTTCCAAGCCATCTCCGCTGTCTAGCTGGGATCCAGACGCTTTACTGTGATGTCGTGTCGATTTGTCTAATGGTACCCTTCGGGGCAGGTATGATGATTGATCCCATTATTCCAGATGTCTGATTCACCAGATATTCTTTCTTTTTATATTTCTTTCAGGCGTCGAGACGCGGGAGGATGGAGTCGGTGAGCCAATCGGTGGGTTCGATCCGTCAGTTGGCCTCACTATATATGGCTGGTACCGTGAAAACCGTTAAGCCCGTCTGACTGAAAGACGGGAGTGCTGTGGTGGGATGGCGAAGTTTTGCTTCTCGGGGAAACAGCATCTCCAGGTCAGGATACAAAGATCATGCATCATGACTCCGCGCGAGCGCGATCATGGTCTGGAGAGATCGAGACGCTCCACGGCTCCGGTTCGCCTTCAAAGGGTGCGCGGAGTCGAGGAATGGGGCTCCGGTACGGAGCACCTCTAGGTCTGCCATCGAACGCGATCTTCATGTCCAGAGAGCTCGAGTAGGATGTCCAGCGGCTCATCCGTCCCCCGGCAAGTCGGCCCCGTGCGGCAACCTCGGGGGGTCGGTTACCGGAGCAGCTCGAGAACATCTAATGACCTCGACACGGAGCCGATCGCGGACGTCGACACGATCGATAGAATGAAAGAGATCGAGAGAACTACTTGGGGAGTGATTGAACAGGAAAGATGTCTCCAATTAATTGGGAAGAGCTGCGGAACGACTCATGGAAGCGGAGATCTAACTAAATCACGCCCGTCTTGTATGAGGCTGGAATGAATCGGCTGATTCAATCGTCGGAGGGCTCCACACTCGTTCTGAAATTAGACCCGATGGTCAGCTGAACAAAAGAACTGAAAGAGACGGTATTCGAGGCGACCAACAAAAGGTGCAACCGTCCTTTTTCACATCTCAAAGTTTGGAAACTACCTACACGAAAAAATGGACTCCACCGATCGAAACAAGTAGACGTGCTCCCGAATCGTAGGATTTATGATCTGGCCACCAAAGGATCAGTCCCGCTCAATTTCCGCCCCACGGAAGCAGAGTAGAAGGACACGCCTTTCGCTACCGCATGTGGCGAGCTATGTCCATTGGGGTTCGTATTTTCAACGGCAATGATTCGGCCCATACCTGTTCCGCAGCCCTAGCCCTCAATGAATGGAGACCCTCAAAGCGTCGAGAGAAACCTCGAGCAATGTGCGAGATCGCATGTCTCGATAGCCTGTCGCTATTGTACATACGTGGGTAGGGTGACACGCTCTATTGAACGCCCATCGGATCAATCAGCTCCGTGTGGAGTCCTACGAATCTAGGGCAGAAGGACCGCGCGAAAAACTCGGAAGCTCCCATGATCCCTGGAATAACGCTTTCGGGCGAGAATAAATATACCGGCGCGGGTTAATGTCCTGGGCCGACTTCCCTTGAGCTTCAGACTGCAGCAAGGATCGAGACATACACCGGTGGAAAAGTTTCCTCTCAAGGAAGCAACCTTGCTACGCAACGGCTCCACATACCATGGCCAATGTCCTCTTCGTGACGTCAGGACTTGCATGGTTGATAGTGGTCGATACAGCCCATGCTGCCGCAGTTTTTGTACGTATGCTTGACATCTAATCAGACTGATTATTCACCGGCAAATGGTCCGACGACCAGGAGGAAGAACACGAAACAGACGGGTAATCTTGCGTAAGAATCTCCGTTACTGTGCTATGGGCGATATCAAGAGAAAAACCCCTCGAACACTTCGGACTCTTGTTTTGGTGATTTCGCACGTCAAATTTGGAACTAAACTCTTCAGTCCTTCTTTCCTTCTCGGTGAGACCTGTCGAGCCCTCGCTGCCTCCCGACTTCAATGGGGAGCTCTCGATCGAGATCGATTTTCGATCTACGATCAAGAGAGCCTCGACTCGGTCGTCATTGAGATGGAGCTCGAGCTTCCAGACGGTCCGTTACAGTTGGCTCACGTTGGAGTCACGGTGTTCCAAGACAGTCTGTGGCTTCGGCGCGTCGATTCTCTGTTTCGACCTTATCTTGTCCCTTCTGAAAAAAGACATCTGATACCCCTGACACTGGAGCAGACTGCGTCTGGCAGATAGGATTTTTTTGCCGCTCGAAAACCTCGCCGACATCGTCATACTCATCGTATTGGATGCAGCACTCTTCTTCTTCTTCTCGTTCCACTAGTCTCACTGACTGGCCGAGGAAACGGAAGGCAGTCATGCGGAGAGCTGAGCGGGATGGCAGTCGAGTGAACCCGTTCGAGAGAAGAAAACCCAGCCGAGGCTGGAAGGCGATCGCATGTCAAGGTTATCCACTGTTGGGCCAACATGGAGTATTCATGTCAATGGCCTCTCTCGGCCACGGATGGCCCAGCGTTCCGACCACGCTTTCTGCTTAGGTCTCTCTGCCCGAAAAAAGCATTGGGACAACATACAGGTGATCTCTACCACAAACTCCGACGGGAGACGCCTTCGCCGTTGGCATACATAGTATCACAAACATCGGTGCGTCGTCACGGCTAGGAAGAATCCTTTCCCGAACGTGGACTGGATACTCGCAATCCCGTGCCGCCTCGGGGATCGACGAGACCATTCAAAGAACACGCGCAGTCGCCGACCCCCGGCGATGAGATGAAAACATTGTGTCTATCGTGACCGCGCCACCGTCTGGTTAGCCGATTCGTAACATGGGCGTTATCTCGATATGTCTCAGCTAAAGGCTTTGATCTACGGAAGCGCTCCATTCACTGGTGTTGCTCTGGGGAGCGTTGCTTGGACAGACCGTAGGGGCGCAGAAATCGGACTTCGATCGTCTCCATGAATAGGCGTTGGAATGATTAAGATGTTGTTACGTGGCCGGATGGGACGCTCGATGTTCCGGGTCGGTCTTGTCGGGAGACCTATGAGATCATTCGGTTGAAGATCTTCATCGCGCTCGACGGTGGTATCTGTCTGCGGTCGAGTCGGAGCTTTCGTCACCGCTGATTGGGAAACCGCTGGTCCCCACAGAAGAAAGTTTTGGGTTCTTACGACTGGTAAGCACGGCATTAAATACCGACCACTGGAAGAAAGAGACTTGGTCCTGTGCGAGTCGCCACCGCAATCACCTATCGATCGTAGACACCAGAAAGGAAGGCTCTCCGGTCCACGACGGAACATCAGTCCGAATCGGGGATGGCTCACGTGAGCACCGAGACGATTGAAGCATTCGCTCCAGATCGCCAGACGGGATTATCTCTGCCAATGGTTCCGAAATGTTGTTCTGCGGAGGAAAGTCCATCAATCGTCGGCCAAATCGATCTTCGACAGATTTGTCGCCAGCGAAAGTCTCACGAGTGCAAAAGGCTCCTGGAAGAAGGGAGCTCCCAAGGAATCGTTGCGCAATCTTCCTCAGAGGTCTCTGCATAATCTTGATCACTAGCTATCGTGTGGCCTTCACGACCGCGACTCCATGTTATCAGCGCGGGCTGGGAGCCTATTTAACGTATATTATTGCATAGCTGTGTCGCCTGGAAACGTAGCGACTCCTGTGCTCGGTCGGTCTGACGTAATTTGAACACTCCCAAGAACGAGAATGTATGCGCGGTGATCTTCGTGCGATGGCTGGACGAAATCTATCACCGACATGACTTCATCCATACTTAACGTCGGTGGCTCTTCCGCGAGTCAGCGTCGAGGAAATGCAGATCGAGACGCCGCTGTGACAAAATTAATGTCACCTGCGATTCCTTGAATCTTCGGTCCGAGCGGCGCTGGCGTCAGAACTGTCATTCTCGAAGGAGATCCGTCCACAATGGCACAGGGATCTCCGTCACATTACGTCACAACGAAAATAAAGGCCATTCTATCGTTTGGCAAAGCGACCGAACGAATCGAGACTAAGACACGAACGAGGTCTGGAACCGCTTATCGAGCCAACAGGACGGGCTCGCTCAGAAAGTTCACCCGACCCGGAGAACACATTGGACCGAGCGAGATTGGTGCCCATCGCTATAGAGCGCATTCTCCGACTGGTTACTGAACCACCTACATAAGAGACTTCCTGTCTTGTCTTCAGACTCGGGCGAGCGGCCAGGCGGCGCTGGCGCCGTAGCCTCGTAACTGTCGTTCACCTTCTGACCGAGAGACCACTATATTTTCAATCACTGACGCTTGACTGATCGATGGGGCCAAGTTCGCAGAAACGAGGAAATCTCCACCCAGGGCAATGGGAATTTCCGAGCTCACTCTGGATATTCCGATCTTATCCCAGGAAGCCCAAATTAAGAATCCTAGCGTCATGCACCTTCCTCGGGCCGTATTGATTTCTCTGTGGGCCGTAGCGACGAAACTTG